GAGCCGAGATATGCGCCCGTATTATTGAAAGTATGTCCAGTTCGTGGCCAGGGTTATTTTGTAGATTAATGTGTGATCTGGGTTTAGGTCCAGCTTTTGACTATTTAGACGCACCAGTGGTTCGCGTAGCCGGCGCTGACGTACCGATGCCTTACACTAAATCGTTAGAAGTGTTAGCACTGCCACAGGTCGTGGATGTCGTACTGGCCGTCAAGAAAGTGCTGAATATTCAATAATAGTAACCATTAGGACATCACTAGTCATACGATAGCGAAATATTAGGCCATTATTTAATAAATTTAATTAAATTCTCTGACTTTGACTCCATTTCTCTTTCAACTATTGTTTAAATTTTTAACTCTTTTTGTGTTTAGTTTTAAGCCTTTCATAAAGACTTTGCGATTTGTTTTTGTTTATTGTAACAGATTTTTAAATCTCAGTTAATTATTATTCCTTAATATTTTTTGTTGATTTATACGTTAATTATTATAACGAATTGTTTGTTTAAAACAACATTAGCTTTGTTTTATTCATCATCTTTTGGGACAATTATCGGGCATTTGTTTTGGTGTAGAAAATGATTTGTATTTTTCGACTCTTTTTGCCTTTAATTGTAATTTAAATTATTTGAAATATTTACTAAAATTATTTACAANGACAATTATCGGGCATTTGTTTTGGTGTAGAAAATGATTTGTATTTTTCGACTCTTTTTGCCTTTAATTGTAATTTAAATTATTTGAAATATTTACTAAAATTATTTACAATTTAGTTAATTATGAATACATTTTACTAATTAAAGAATATTTTATTTATTAACTTGACTTGGAATTTAATTTCTAAACAATTTTAATGATTAAAATTATTCCTTAAATATATCTCAAATAACTTATAATAATAACTATTGTTTAGCAGTTGATCAAGAATTTTGTTGCTATTTAGAGTATCGCATACAGTGTACTAAATTGTCTATACACAATAGAAATTACGGTATATTTCTATACTAACGCGTAAGAATTTATTCTTTAATATTTAGCTCGATTATATCTAATATATTACTGTACTGTATATTGTATTTACCGCATATACTACTGTACTTACCTTGTATTTTAATTTTAGAAATAATGACTGTGATATAATTAACTCCAGTATACGGTATTTTAATAATTTTAATTTTTATATCCTTTAATAGTGTTTACAGTTTCCTTTACATGTTAAAGGAAAATATTTGATAAAATTAAATTATATTACCGGTACTGTACGGTAATACTGGAATACTTACAATTGTTAGTTAATATGATTATTTTTAATTTATAAAATTAGTCATAAAACTAAAACAAGCTAAAAGCTAAATAGAAAGAATAAATAATTTAGTAGATTGAAAAATTTATTTATTGGTGAGTATAATTATTGATTTTAATTTTAGTATAACATTTTCAAAAGTTAACAATATTTCAAGTGAGTTATAGGTAAATACAGTATATTCGTAGTATTTCTGTAGTGGTTTTTACTAATCATTACCTAAACCCTTATGTCTATCTATAGATTGTGATAAAACCTTTTATTAAAAACATTAACATTTCAAATCATTATTGAATTATAAAATGAAATCAAATATTTAAGACAATGCAATTCAATTTAATTGCAATGAAAGTACAGATAAGATTAAAGACAGATACAGTAACTTATAACAGAAATAAATTAGTACCTATTTTTTATTCAATTTCTATGTTTAAAAATATATTTACATAATATTTTTATTAAAAAACTTAATAATAATCATAATTTAATATAAATTAAGTTTAAAATTAAAGAAAACAAGTTAAAAATAGCATTTCGTTTAAATATTATTTAACAAAATATATATATAATTATTTCAATATTTAAATTCTGCAATTATAAATAATTTCATACAGTTACAGATAGAACTAATTTACTTTTAGAGCACCATGGTGCTCCTAAAATATTTATATCATTTTTAACACAATTGACTTATTACGGTAAATCCTAATTTAATAGTAATAATAATAAGTTAACAGAAGTCCACACAAATAGCTGACATGAGATAATCAGTTTATGCGATGATAATGAATAGTTGACACAATCAGTCACATAACAAATTCAAGGATATAGACAGTCAGTCGTTAATCAGTCAGTCAGCCCGTGAGCCCTGTCCTCAGTCACCACGTCATCATCACTATCACCACTGATGGGTCTGGCGTTGAGACGCCTGTCCTCTTGATAACACACATTTGCCACCAAATCATTAAACTCTTGGTGTTTATCGGCGTACACGTGATGACCAGACCCTTGGATCACCTCCACTGCCACCCTATCGCCTAACATATATTTTGTTTGAAAGCCAGGCTGCCTGTCCACCCACGACCTCGAGCCATATATGAAAGTCACGTTAATAGCCGGGTGCAGCTCCGGTATCCTATCGAGCATCGGACTCTTAGCCCACCCGAACCCAGTGGACAGGGTTTTGAAAGCCCGTTCACCGCTGGGCACCGGCTGTGCGTTGCAGTGATAGATATACTCCAGGAAGACATCGGCGTTCCCTTCACCGGCCATTTGTTCAAACTTTTTGCGTATATCCGGTCGGAGTTTGTGAATGAGTTGCGGACCCCACGGGCCGGCAGCTCTCAGTCCGGCCAATGGTGTGAATAACTGCACCACTTTTGCCACCATTTTGGCCCAAAACGGCAGATTCAGGCGGTGCTGATTCAGGGTTTGGTTCATCTGTTGGGAAGGCATACCCCACGGATCGGCCAGTATTAAGTGGGATACCCTTTCGGGGTATTGGAGGGCGTAAGAGGCGGCTAAATAAGCGCCAAACGAATGGCCCAGAAGTATGAACTTCTGGTTGAGGCCGACCCGACTCCGCCACCGCTCGATACTGTCGACGAGCTCGAGCTCTGCCGTCTCCGACGAGTCAAACACAGGTCGCGAAGATTTGCCGAAACCTAATATATCGAAGGCATAGAGCTTTCGGTTGGTCTCCACCAGTGAATCCAAGTTCAGTGTCCAGAGACCCACAGCCGATGCAAACCCATGGATCAGCACAAGTGGTGGCTTCTGTTGCTCTTGTGGTTGAGGTTCAGGTTTGGGTGACATCTCCAGAGTCCAGATCTTGTTGTTGTCGAGACCCCAGCCATAGCCCACGTCCACGTAAAACGTACGGAACGGGTTCTTCAGGACTGTTAGCATCAAACATATGAATTAGTGACTCATTAACAAGGAGGTAGTGGTCATCAATGGGTCTTACATGATAGCACTTTACTCTCGGCTCTGTCCAACTCGTGAGTACTGGTGGGTCGCCATCGGAACCATTGGGAGACACGACTTTGGATCAAATGATAAGATCGTATCAAATGAGATAAAATGACACAATTTATTGAGTG